CCAAGCACAATGCCATTTTCCAGGTCCGAGCACTGGTGAAGGCGCCATTGTACGATGAAGAAAGTCCCAAGGCGCGTGTTGGACCGGCAGAGCTTTGGTGGTTTTTATGGCCTGAACAACCTTGAAAAACATTGAAAAACTAGATGCTTAATGATGGCTTTGGATAACAGACAATTCTTAGCCACAATTGGACGGTTGATGATGGCGGTTTCTTGTTTCTTGAGTACTCCCACATTAGTCAGACATAGTCAGACGCTAGATGATATTTAAGATAAACATGCACTACTGTAAACGAATTGATCGTTTGTGATGGGTTGTATTGGTTTCTCAAATCATTGCTCCCCTTGATCGGATGGTTTATATATTCATGTTCGTGATTGTTCATGTATACCCTCTGGTAATCTGACATGGCAATGAACAGTTCGCAATTGTATAATATACATTCATCTACAGATGCACTTCGCATTAAAAGAATGGGATGTGCCATTGCGATGTTTGATTAGGGTACTGTACTGGTTTCCCACATTTCTTTGCCCTGAAATGAGTGTGTCTGAGAAGGGGATTTAGCTCTATATATATATATATTTGTATATCTATATATATGATATTGGCATTGGCCATGATGGTAAATTGCAAACACCATTTTTATCTCAACCATAGAAGAGCAACATCTCAATGACGAATTTCATGTTACCATTAATACCAGAAATCTGGTACAAAATGATTTCTGGCGTGCTGGAAATCCAGCATTTTTCTCGATGATTTCCCAGCCACAGGCTGCGGGTGGTCAGGTGGCGTGGCTGTGGCGGGATTGGTGGCGGTCATGGAAATGCATGGACCATGAGATGTAATTAATGATTATTAATGATGATTATTATGAATGATTATCTGGGTAAATTATATCTCATTAATCATCATTAACAATCTGGTCATGAATGATAATCAATCTGGGTAAATTTGATCACGATCTCACTGTTCTCCCTCACTGGAATCATGGTTAGTAAGGAACATAATCCCCAAATGGCCTTAATCCAGGTTAGTGAAATATTATGATTTACCCTGATCAATGATAATTATAATATGCTATAATTGTATTTTTATTCATCATACCATGAACATATGATATAGAATTATAATTATTTATCACTGGTATGTTTTGAGTAATTATAATATAATTATTAATTTTGGGATCATATTTTCATGTAGAATCACCATTATTAATAGGTAGATATCATCGAACATATGGGCCATGGCTTCCATATCTATCTTACATACTGTTAACATCTGTTAACTTACTTGAGGGTAACCTTTGCAATTCTTGGGTTGCCTTGAACCGTTTATCTTCCGCATTAGTATTTTTAGACCTTAAACGTTTCACTTCGAAAGCTCCGAAGCTTGTCTCAGAAGCACCAGGCATCTCAGAAGAAAGTCCGGATCTCTAGGGAGAGCAAGGCCCAGAACTCCAACAACTGGTTCATGGTTGGGGTTACAACAACTGGTTTCATGGGGACCAGCAAGATCTATCCAGTGATTCAGTGAATGCGACTCTGGTTATCCCATGAATATCTTTGTCCGAGACGACTAAGATGTGGCCATTTGAATGGGGAATTGGGGACATGTTCAAGGCACCCCATTCTCAGACACACCCAGAAATCTTTGGTGGTAGAATACCACGCTTCGGTGATATGAATTTATAACTTTCATATGCATGGCATGGCACAAAATGTTGATGGATTTACGGATCATCACCAATCTTATTCCCATCATATTACATCATATTACCATGTGATGGCTCCCTCCATGCACCACAACCAACCCATCCCAACGATTGCTGAGGAAGCCTTGCTGGCGACCGAGCCAACCCAGGGTTCTGCAGTCCGGGGCTGATGTAGCGCGAGTGATTCGAATTTCTGCACTGACCTCACCCTTGAAAGATGATGATTTGCTGGTTGGTGGTTTAATGATGTTTAATGATATTTATGATGGTTATACAATGGTTAATCATGGTTAATAATGGTTAATGACTGGTTGGTGGTGACTGGAACCATGGAATTTTGAATGACTTTCCAGAAACAGTTGGGAATGGAAAATCATCCCAACTGACGAACTCCATCATTTTTCAGAGGGGTAGGCTCAACCACCAACCAGTTTGTATTGATGATTTGTATTGATGATGGGAAGAAGATTTGTATTGATGTGTTTCTTTTTATGATTTGCCCAGATGAGTTCCAGGATTCACACTCCAGTAGCCATCAATAACCTTTGCCGCCCAGGAGCAACCTCAGCAGGGCAAGAGTGTTGGGGAACTCATTCAACCTTTTATGGAGACAACAAATGAGATTTTCTCAGCAAAAAAAGGCAATAAATCACCGGAAAACATGGTTTATAAGGGAAATCATCCCCAAATGGCGCAACATTTCAGGTTAGTGAAAGATGATAATTTACCCAGAATAATGTAGGAATTTGCAGGATCTAAACAGAGAGGTGACAAAGGCACGGGTCAGACCATGATGTTTCTGTGCCTTTCCCATGTGCTGTTCACTGTCAATTCATAGGTAGCAAAGAATCGGAGGACATTTGCTCATACTTACTCCACATACAGCAATTTCCCCGGCTTCTCTTGTTGCCCCCGTTGTGACATGTTGTGACCTCCTCGTTTTGGGATGGTGCAAGGCCAGCCGTGATCCAAAGACTCCGGCGTCGGAACACCAAAGATCTACCAGCCGGGATGTGGCATCTAGCAGGAGTGACCAGGGTATCTGTGGCACAACGTGGTTTCGAATATTAGTGTTCAATTTTGATACCAAAGATGAGTCTGAATGACTTGAATGACTAGCACTTCAAAGTGCAAAGGAGGATTCTAGATTCTAACCAAAAGAAAGTATGCTACATCATATTCATGTACGCGCATCTGGGTGAATTCTGAGGACGTCCGACCTCACTGGAATGATACTTAAGGATAATCATCCCAAAGTAGCTTCAATTGAGATGAGTGAATTTGCCACGATACATAATAATAATCAATCATAATTACATAATATTACATATTCGATAGCCAGATTATTGCGCCATTATACTACCTATAGATATTGAATCATTATCATGTGCCAAGATCTGCAGGGTGCCTCCCCGGTCGACTTGGGTGGTCGCATAGTGGCATAGCATCGCTGGAAGATGATCGTGCATGGCTTCATGGCGTTGGACAATGATTTATCTGGTGGAAACTGGCTCCATGACAAGCCCACCATATTAATCCATATTTTTTTATAATTAGTTTTATATATTGTTATGTTCAGTATTTTCGGAGCATAAACATGGTTTTTGCAACCTTTCTATTTTTGGTGGATATCCGTATGGATTATTGGTTCCAAAGGTAGACCCCCAAATGATGCGGACGAATCCAAGGTCTCAAGCAGGCCTGGGGCTGAGCTGCTCGCATAAGTGTGCGACCCAAACTCGGGAGACCTAAATGTAGTTAATTACATGTATAATCATGTATTTACTCAAGAGTTTGAGTTTCATTGCAAACTCCTGATCTTACTAGTACCATAGAATTTATGGAATTGCCCATGATAAAATGCTGATTTTGCCATCAGAAAGGAGAATTGTAGCATCAATACTTGGGAGCCGCAGGAAAGGCAAACCGGGCAAGCCAGGAAGAAGTGTTGGCAGGACATCTATAGCGCCTACAGCAGATATTCTCCAGATCATGAGGGAACGGACCTCTGGTGGGTTTGGAGTCAAACTGCTCAACCCCTCAAAATATCCAGGGCAATCACGATCTCGGCTGACCCTTATCTAAAATGTTTGGGACAGGTGACGACAACGCCACTCGATGGTGGATTGGTCGTGATTCCCCAAACCATCTGGGCTCATCAGAACATACTGCTGTCAGCCAGCGGCCGAGAGGTCCCTAACCTATAGGCCCTTTTAGGGTTTCATGTGACCAGAGATTTTTGGGTCATGTAATATAGATATCAATTTTTGAGCCGGAGGTACTGTACCACAGAAAACATCAGAAAACCATATTTTCGGCTATATCCCGTGAAATTTAGCCCTTGCAATGGCTGCCAAATCAATGGCCAGCTCGTTGATCGTTCCCTATCGTCCAGGCAAAGGAGGCTGCTGCGTGCTTCAGTGAGAGCCGATTGATGGATTCACATATATTCACCCAACAAAAATGGAGGGTTGATTATGGTTTATGATGGTTTGTTATGGTTTACCATTGTACTTTACCGTTGATCATGGGGGTCCAAGTGTCCAAGCATGTACCATGTTTCACCATTCCAATGAGGATGGGCCGGACTGACCCACTAAACATTGTGGGTATCTTGTCATGGACGACGTCTGTCGCCGAGTGTCTCGCAGAAATCTGGACGCTATCTCGGAGGAACCTAAGAGGAGCGATGGACCAGCCATGCCGGGTGTTTTTGTTTGGGAATATCATGGAATATCATTAGCACATATTAACTAGGTCAATCTTAGATGGGTACTTTAATCCTTTAGTCTTTTGGTATCAGTGGGAATATCTACGAACCAGCAAAGAATTTATTTTTTTGCATGGTATCTAAGATTGGCAATGTTAACAACAATGCTACTTGTAGGTGGTTATTGCAACCTTGGGGATGCCCATTGAGAACATGTAAACATGCCTCAAAAAGACAAATGTAAAGCCATTGCCGAATATCCCCAGTATTCCAAGAACATATAAAAAGTGATGTCCTCACACTGGTCGTATCATTTAGCACCACAGATGGCCAACTTCCTTCGTCACGAGAGGCATTGACACGTCAACACCGCTCCAAGTGAAGGTTGTTCCCAAGGCTGCAAGCGATGGACTTGCGTAGGGCAAAAAGTCCAAACATGTTTCGCTTCCAGGAAGATGCATGCTTTTCATGTGCGAAGTCATGGGATGTAGTTGGACTGCTGCATTCTTCATTTTGATTACTTTAGCCAAGCTGATTCCAGGTCAAAAAGTTGCTGTGCTTGGACTTGACTTCGGCTCTCAGCGGAGTGATTGGCTGTCCCGGACCACGCAATAGGGCCATCGTGGACGTGTGGAACGATGGCAGGCAAGGTGACGAAGAAGACCACAAAGAAGGGGAGCAAGCAGCCTGTGCGGCTCTATGCCAAAGGCGTGATCCTGGGCTACAAGCGCAGCAAGTCCAACTGCTACGCCAATTGCACTCTGTTGAAGATTGATGGTGTCCGCACCAAGGACGACACAAAGTTCTACGTTGGCAAGAGGGTCGCATACGTCTACAAGGCCAAGAAGGAGATCCAGAACTCCAAGTTCCGTGTGATGTGGGGCAAGATTCGTCGTTCGCATGGCAACTCCGGTGTGGTGCGAGCCAAGTTCAACAAGAACATTCCTCCCAAGGCCTTCGGTGCTGCTTGCCGAGTGATGCTTTACCCAAGCTCCATCTGAGAGTCAACATAGTCACCTAGTCCGATTCTCATGTGTCACCTTGCTGAAGAAGGTCCGGTATGCAAACAGAATGCTCGCAGCCAAAAGGATGATGTTTGCAGCTGCAGTAGCTGCTTGTTGCACTCAGCTTCACGCAGACACATACTTGCATGGCAAGGTGTGGCACCACTAGTATGATGCACTATGATGAACTAACTATGCACATATTGTTTAGATGTTTTGAATGTAAGACCCCCCAAATCAACTGACAGGGCTTAGTTGATTTGCTGTTGTGCTGTGGCTCCTGTTGCTTTGGTCATTTGTGTTGAATTCAGCAGCAACCTTGCTTGCTGACTAGTTTCAGTTTGCACAGGGTGCATTCATGAGTTTCATGAAAGACACAGAAGCTTCCTTTGCGCAGGTTGGCTCAAAGGGAGGTTGGCCCATAGGTGGAAGACTGGGTTAAAAGTCCCCTCTTTGAAATGGCAGGCAAGGTGACGAAGAAGACCACAAAGAAGGGGAGCAAGCAGCCTGTGCGGCTCTATGCCAAAGGCGTGATCCTGGGCTACAAGCGCAGCAAGTCCAACTGCTACGCCAATTGCACTCTGTTGAAGATTGATGGTGTCCGCACCAAGGACGACACAAAGTTCTACGTTGGCAAGAGGGTCGCATACGTCTACAAGGCCAAGAAGGAGATCCAGAACTCCAAGTTCCGTGTGATGTGGGGCAAGATTCGTCGTTCGCATGGCAACTCCGGTGTGGTGCGAGCCAAGTTCAACAAGAACATTCCTCCCAAGGCCTTCGGTGCTGCTTGCCGAGTAATGCTTTACCCAAGCTCCATCTGAGGGCAAAGCTGCGGGATAAAGTCATTCAGCCTCTGTTTGAGCAAGTGCAGAAAAGATGCGGCTATTTATGATATGCCGCGTTGACTTCTGAGCTTCAGGGTGGGCCCTCCTATATGTCAGGAGTAGCCTCACGTGAAACATTTGGAAACACGCCAGACTCCACTAGACATGCGCCGTGCCTTAGGCTTGGCTCAGGGGGAGCAGGCCATGTCCTGTGGGAACAACAGGCAACATGTGCCCATGGAAACACAATTGCTGCGCACAAGTGTAGGAACACATCCAAACAAAAGATTGACGCTTCATATTTTGGAAGTCCACATTCTGATACTCGCCGCGGGTCCCAACATTTCTGCGGAAAGTGCTAGCAGGCAGGTCGACCGGGTGATAATTTTTTGGCAGGGCTGGTGATGGAAGTGCAGGATTTTAAAAGCGATTGCTTGACATCGATGTTAAATATGACCCTTCAACCACGCTTTGTGTTTATTGTTTAGGAGCCTAATTTCCAAACATTCATAGTGCAATTCATTTGCCTTGGCCTCCAAAAGTCATATTAATCTAGGTCCTAAGGTAAATATATGATGTAAATATATATATATATATATAAGTAGCAAATAATTGTATATAATACAATTGAATATACCCACCACAAACATGGATAATATTGGATTTGAACGCACAAAGTCCTTTCTATTCCCACTTGGATGCGCATGCCATTTCGTCATTCTTTATTAAACTTGTAACTTGTAATAAATTGATGTAAATTGTACATATTTATACAACATATTAGTACCAACATTTAATGCATGCTGGGTTTCGCCCAGGGTTCCAAGCATGCTTGTTAACATTTATTAAGATTGTCAGCAATATAATCGCCTCCAGGCAATATTCAATGCCCTAATCAAAACCATGGTCTAGTATTGGATCTACTCATTTTCGGGTCCTTTGTGGAACATCGAAGCCATTCATTTTGGGGTCCTCTGTTGTTTTTTCTCTTGTCCCTATTTCAGAATTAGTCAAAGCTCAAAATGAACGGATGATTCCGTCATTATCTGGTTGGTGGTTTGGAACATGGCTTTTGTTTTTCCATAATATATGGGATAATCCTTCCCATTGACTTTCATATTTTTCAGAGGGGTAGGTATACCATCAACCAGCCATCATTATGCTATGTTAAGCCATGCTTAAACGGTCTTAAACGGCTCAAACCATCATCGCAGCAGTGATGGTGAACCGCTCGACGGGGGATGGGATGACACAATAAACGCCAGGAAAGATGGCAGATCGACACGCAGCCATGAAGGCCCGGCGGTGAAAAATGTGGAGATAGTTGTATATAAAAATAGTAACAATAATTACTATATATATATATTATTAATTCACATCTCAAGACACACAACACACATTTTTATGATTTTTATGTGTATATATATATATATGTCCACGTTGGTTCCGGTTGAAACCGGACTTGAATCTAATGATCTCCAGCGGTGAGGATGGGATGACGAGCGCATACCCATGTTCATGAATCCCGTGATATGCAATCCCAAATGAATATATGGATGTTATTCACCATATGTAGCATATTAACATGAACATATGATATTGACATTTATCAAAATGTCAATGTATGATATTGATTATCAACATATATATTAAGATGTAATATTAACACATTAAAATATTATCATGGGTCAACATGTATATATATAGTATTAGCTTGTATTAACATATAGTATTAACAAGTGATATCGACATGTAATATCAACATACAACACTAGCAAACAATATTAACATATGATATTAACATTTAAGAAAAATAGATAGAACAATATTGACATATGATATTAACATATTATATTATTTTGTTTCTTTAAACAACCATATTATATTAACATATTACCATTTTATGTTACAATATTATACTAACATTTTATATTGACATATTATTTTAACATATTATTTCAACATATGATATTAACATATAATATTAAGATATGATATTAACATATAATATTAACATATAACATTAACATATAATATAAACACATAGCATTAACATATCATATTAACACATGTTCACATGTATTCAGCATATATTAACAATATGTTTCATCTTAACCAACCACAAGATTTTGGATTTGGAACCCTGCTCGCTGTTCCCATTGAGGAGAATCAGCCTCCATGTGATTCCAATGCGAAGAAGCAGGCGGGCTCATTCTGCAGCATTCTGCATTCATCTGACATGATATATATATATATATTATACACATCTTTTTAATATGATACAGTATGATAATATATATATATATTATATCAATACAGAATATACATCATATGTATATATATATATACACAATATGTATTAATGAGTACACTAAAAACTAGATGTAGCCGTATACAACGCGGTAGCGGCTGGCGGGCTACTCCAAGGTGGATGCTGACAGCCCTCAGCGAACGGGAACCTTTCCCGTGAAAAACACCTTCATCCACTTCGGGAGCCCGGATTCAAGGACGGATGAGTACAACGCTTGAGAAAACGCTTTTGGGAACTGTGAACAAATGCAACAATATTCATAATATATATATATGTATATGTAGTAATTATGTTATTTAAATGCTTTCTTTCACATCCTGAATAAACGTTCCAGAATAGACATTAAGTGGGTTGTTCTGATTGGACAAGGAAAGCTCTGTGTCAGCAGTTTCATTGGGCTCGCTTTGTTGGGTGGCGAAAGTATGTTAAGTTGTTTTTCATTTCTCGCGACAATGGCTCGTCAAAGTCATGTGCCACGTCCACTACTTCGGGAATCTATCTATATATGTTATATGTATATATATAGTATATTTTTATAGATTTTTGGGATTCCTTAAGCAAATCCAAGTCTGTTTTGTTCATTACAGAAAACCTCTTGGTCCATAGATCTCCGTGGTGTGTACACCACTTTGGGGTGCATCCCAGGAATTGGGATGATAGCCTTGTAATAGCCTTCTTATAGCCCACTTATGTATATATATATATACATATACGCATATATATGTATATATATTTATATATGTATATATATATATGTATATATGTATACAGTATATGAATCTCCCCAGTTAGAGAAATTTGGTTCCAGACTATGATACCTGGGTCGTGTTAATCCAAGTATAAGATTCTTGGTTTATAATTATAACACACAATATATTACAATAATAACAATAATAATAATAAATATATATATATATATATGTATTCCTATTAATGTGGTAAAGCCACTAATAAACCATCCCCAGCCATGCTAGTTGTGGCAGGCTATCCATGCCCATTGGGACCCAGTCGTTGCAGGACGCCTGCGGGCAACCGCGCCTTGGCAACGCCCAAGACCGTGCCGCCGCATTTCGCTCCGCACGAAGCGGACGCCAGCGGAGCGCCCATGTCCTCCGCTCCGCTGGGGCCCCTGGGATTGGGATCCTGCCGACTTCGGGCCAAGACCCAGCCATTGGGGATTTCAGCCCAGGAACAAAAGGAATTGTCATGGATTTTACTACTGAATGGATTCGGGGGTGTTTGAAAATGAGAAACATGGGAATCATCAAGAATGGAGGATTCACCAACTGAAATGATGGTTTACCCATCAATAATAAGGTTTTTTGTCAGTTACTAGTGGATTTGGCTGCCATGTGTCTTTTCAATGGATCTTTCCAGGGCTGACTATTCGGGAAGCTGACCCAGTTCATGGAGCCGGTACAGAGTTCATCGTTGATGAATCTCCGGCTTTTTTCATTGATCTTTCTTAGTGATTAATTGGTATACCATCTACGGATCCGCCAAACCATATAACGATATACAACGTATATTATATAATATATATGTATACACACCATTTGGTAATTTAACATAACTATAGAACATAAACATCATAAACATACATAAACCTTCTAATGGGTAAATCATGTTTATGGGCCATCTATACCATAGCAAACCGTTAAATTACCAAAGGGTATAAAAATTATTTGGCGATTCATATTCCATGTATTTCATTTCGCGTTATTTGAGATCGAGTTGTGTCATGGTTGATTAAAACCCCATATATTATATGTATAGTACCACATGGTGATTACCCTCCTGTAAACATCAAGAGATTGTGGAATACCCACCATGAACGTAGATCATGTTCCGAAACAAGAAAAACCGTGGGTTAAGACCGTTTTCCAGGTCTTTTTGTAACCGTAAACATCCCTATATGGTAACGTAAACCCCTGTATGGTGGTAACGAAAAAAAAACCGGTGGGTAGACCGACAAGATCCTCAGCGCTGCCAGGATTGCTCCACTGCGTTTGTTTGACTTCTTGCCAAGTCCGCAGGTGCCGAGCCGAGTCCGGTGAGTAGCGAAAGTTTTTTCAGGAGGTTCCCCAAGAACATCCTATAACTAATGGTAAAAAACCCTGGTTTCCTGCAGATTTTCCCTTAAACTTCCATTGAAATAGTGATTTAAGATGATTTAAGCTGTAAACATGGCAATATAAGCCAGAGATGATGATTAGTTGTGATGGTGAAGGACTTTTGTGGCAGCAAATGATTAAAACAACGAAATAAGGGATATGTACATTCAGCCAAGCTTGCAACTCTCATTATCTAAGCAGTAGAAGAGAATAACAGACGGAGATTTGGGCTCTGCTAAGATGTTGATGATGCCATGATTTGTGATGTTTCGATATTTGGCAGTGGCAGACATCTCATTGAATGATTGTCACAGTATATATAGGTATTAGTAATGTGTTAGGTAAATAAACCCATAAGAATAATGACATGGATTCTACTATCAGATTGATATACCAGATAAAAGTCATCATATTAGGTTATACTACCTATTAGGTTATACTACCTAGTCATATTAGGATCGTTATGACCCATTTTGGGAACCCCATTTTCACACAGCGCAATGTAGAAGTCATCCCAAAGACGTCTTGTTAGGGGTCAGTTTAGTACCCGAATCAATGCCAAAATGGCTGGTAAATGGATATATATAATATATATTATTATATATATGTATATATATATATATATGTATATATATATATATGTATATATATTATATATTAATATATATCTGGTGCGAAAAGGTTTCGATCCGTGCCCGTATCATACTTTACCAGATGTATGCAAATGTTACTCTGCAGACGGATCTCGCACAGCATGACGTTCATGCTCTAACTACTTGAATGATTTGGGGATACCCCCACCCAAGAAAACGACCCAAGGTGTGAGAAGTCAATCCAGCCACCCAAGAAAGAGGGACATGTGGGAAAATCGCTTTGGAAATCATACCCATACCATCCATGTAAAAATCATAATGCAACATTTAGCTACACGAATGAGTGATTCTGCTGGCTTGTATTGTGTAGCAAACTAATCATGGATGATTTGGCACCACAAACATGTGCAGGTGACCAACAAGGGGACTGCTGGACCTACCATTCCCGCTGGGCAAGTGGGGCAAGGGCCACAAGGGCCACAAGGGCCGCAAGGGCCGCAAGGGCCGCAAGGGGCCTCAAGTGCGCAACTTCCATTGCAGGCGGGGCCTGGGCTGCCAAAATAAGAATAGCAACATTAATCAACTATGCTCAGCCATACTCATAATACATTCATCAACCATGAATCAACCATGAATCAACCACTAATATCCAAATCAACCATAAATCAACCATAATCAAGTTGTATTTTATTGGATAGAAGATGGCAAAAATCGCGGCTCTGTGGGTCCCATTTGTATCAGATCTGTCAGCTCCAGGCTACCAGGATACCATGGGATAGCCACATAAAAAAACTGCGTCGAAATCCGGGGTCCTTGTCTTTTAGGCAGATGTCTTAAATGGGTGGTGAACATTTTCAGTCCTTTTCTTGGGATTTTCCACTAGATTTTCCCGGATAATTGACCCTCATGTTTTTTAGCCTCAATTTTTTCCAGATCTCGGGGGGGCGATCCAGTTTCAAATCATTTATTGGATTTTATAAAGGTCATACTCCCAGCAATTGCCTTTTGACCCACATTTGTTCCTTTACGAAAAACGTTGTCTCCTCCGCTTTCGGTTTGTAGATAGTTATATATATATATATAATAGTTAAGTATGATATAGGATAATCGGGATAGAATATGGACAGAACATGGATTTGATAGGGACATAATATGAACATCATATGGATATAGTGTAATATTATACTCATTAGACAATTTCTTTGTATTTCTTCATCTTTTGTTGAGCATCTCAGTGGACTCCGAATGGAACTCCATGGAGCCTCCAGGCAGAGACGATCACTGCCATGGCGGCATTTCATGCAGTTCATGTGGGAGGGCCCAAGAAATTTCAGACATCGCTGCAAGAGATTTTCAGGATTTTCACGAAGATAACACCTGCCCGTTGCTCAATGGCCTATATAACAGACCTCTGTGAGGTAACGATTTTTTTAAGGACATCCCATGATCCAACATGATCCATTGATCCCCCAAGTCGCCAAGTGCCACTTTTAGGGGACGTATAGGCATTTAGCAGCTATTTTAAGGTGTGCAAGCCAGGGTACCAGGGTTTTTTCACCCATGCCCAATATAGTGAAAAAGCAGGATATACCCACAACATAACAAGTTTTATTTGCTATGCTGGTACGGTTCAAGTCTTAACATGGTATACCCACCCTTATGACTACCAACTCTTTTTGGCTCTTCCATAGCTTTCTACTTGTTGTTCATGTGTTTCATTGTTTTTCCATGGTTTATCGTCTTCTTTTTCCCACTAAGTAGCTATAAGTGACAATGTGTTGTCCGCTAGCTATCAGCTATTCTTGGTGTTGTTGTATCTATTTTCATAGCTGGAAACTACTTTTCATAGCTGTTTCCATCCAAATATCCATGTGTGCCATGGTAAAATCTTGGATACTCATTATAAGGTGAATTCCTGGAATTTTCGTGCCAGGATGACCTCAGTCAAATTGCCAAATGGCCTTGTGACAAGAGCTAATTTCAGATCAGTGAATTAGTAGAATTCAGCCAAAATCTATAATCTATTGTTCATCATGTATTTTTCATTGGCGGCCATCAGTACCCCTATCATCATCTGTTGTTAGGTTAGTGAACTCTAAAATAATCCCACACCGTGTTTATATTAAGCACCCCACAAGAACTGGTCCATACTTGTCCTAAATATGTGGTTTCATGCCGTACCCAAACCATGATTTTGTTTGGAGGTGTTTCATATGAACTGGGGAAGGGGTTCTATACCATTGAATCACCGTTAAATCACCATGAAATCCCATTAAATTACCATGAAATCAACGTTATCAAAATTTATCAACATTAAATCATCCTTCATTTCCATATATTTCCATATATTTCCATATATTTCCATATATTTATTGGTTGATGAACCAACCATCATATCAGCCAGATACCAACCATCACGATGGAAAAACACGATCTCCTGGCATCAAGGCGATCTTCTCAGCCATGCCGCCAACGGTTCCTTCGGCGATGCCGCCCCTTCCACAGCTGGGCGGCTATCAGGCGGAGCGGAAATCCTATGGAAATCCATGGGGAAGCCGTGGTCTCCCTAGAAATGGTGGATTTCTTATAGGTCTGTTAGCTTGAGGGTAAATTATGTCAGTCATCAGCTATGTTTTTTAAGTAGATAATCAGTGTTTGTAGTTATTGATGGTTAGCATGAAGTATCAAAGATTGGAGTTTTTGTTGCAATACTTATAATTACTGATGTTGTTTATCATTCATTGTTATTGTTACTACATTGTTATTCAGTAAATATATTTATTATTGTTCAGTGTTAGTCATGACTATTCACTATTATTGACTATTTCTTATCATTATTCTTTATTTATTATTATTCATTATCACTCATTATCATTCATCATTATTCATCACTATTCTCATTATTATTCTCATTATTATTGATTTTGATTGATTATTATTCATTATTTTTGATTATTATTGATATATTATTGATCATTATTGATTATTATTGATTATTATTGATATATTATTGATCATTATTGATTATTATTGATTATTATTCATTATTATTCATTATTATTCATTATTATTCATTATCAGTTATAATTCATCACGATTTACTATTTTTCATTATTGACTATTATTCATTATTGTTCATTATTATTCATTATTGATTATTATTCATTATTGATTATTATTCATTATTATTCATTATCAGTTATTTTTCATCACTATTTAGTATTATTCATTATTTACTATTTTTCATCATTATTCATTACTATTCATTATTGATTATTATTCATTATCGATTATTATTCATTATTATTGATTATTATTCATTATTATTGATTATGATTGATGATTACTGATTATTATACATTATTCTTAATTATTATTCATTATTCATGTTTTATTTTTGGTTATCATTTGTGATTGTTCATGTTTATTCATTATTATTCTTATTATTATTTGTTGTCATCATTCTATCATCGTTTTTGAAATTATCATTCTAATTATCATTCAAATGTTCTTCTTATTGTTTCTATTGTTATATTGTTGATGTTGTTAGCGCTGCTTGGTTGTTGCCATTGTCGCTGTGACGTCAGGCACAACCACAGCAGTACATGTGGCCGGCGGAAACCTCCCAGCCGCAAAGCTGATCTTTTCCCGGGGGAGTTTCGGGAATCCAACAAAAAAAATATGGTTATTAGTGGTTAATAATAGGTTAATAATAGGTTAATAATAGGTTAATCATGGGATACTTACTGAGAAAAACCCTCTGGTCCAAGATGGCTAGCGAAATCCCTCATGGTTTGCTGGGTTTTAATCATCAGTGGATTCTCCAGCAAACCATGGATTACCAGAGGCTGCCCTTTGTTGTGGTTGCTTGTTGTGGATTGATGTGGATTGCACAATAAGATCAATAAGGATACCCAGGATACCTGTCAATAAACCGGTATGTATATATATATATATAATGTATATAATGGGGTGGGATAGGGGTATTTTTCATGGCTCACAACCGGCCTTTTTTCACGTTTCTACACGGATATTGTTTTGGTTCTTAAATGGACGTTTTGTGTCATCCCTCCACTGTCAGCTGGTTAAGGTTCCAACATGTTCCATGACTGGACCATTGGAGGTGGACCTTAGCCAGAGACGAAAAAGCAGACGATTTCAGTCCAATTTGGCACTTGTCATCTCAGTTCCCATTAGGTCTTCTTAACTTTTGGCGTTTTTCGGAGATCTTCGGAGTTCTTCGGAGAGCCAAAAACGCTGTTTGCCAGCCATTTGCAACCAGAAAACCGGAAAACCGCAGCCCAGCCCACCAGCACCAGCGCCTTAGGCCAGACATGTCGGGGCTGCCTGGAACAATGCAAGAGATGCAGGTCATGCCCGATGGAGGCTTGAGTGGGACTCATCGGTGAGCAGGTGAGCAGGGGATAGCTCTGATTTCTTTTTTTTCCGGGGGGAAATATATGGAAATGTGATGGACATATAATACATATGGAAATGTAGTCAAAAGCAACGGCTACTGTCATGACATATATGGAATGACAATAATTACAATATAGGTCAAAGCGTGAATATAAGTTGATAGGGTGTTTGAAGAAGCGGTGAACCCCCGAACGAATAAGAACGACACCCCGATGGCCCTTTTCGTTGCATATATCATCTTTTCTTGAGGGAGCAGCATGATTTCGTGAAATTATATTGAAATGAAACAGACCACTGTGAAAAAACTGAAACGCTGTTGTCTTTGGGGCTAGCAAGTGACATGCAGCAGCCCAGTTTAGTTGAATGATGTTGAATGCAACTAATATGAATTTTGTCTGAAAGTTTTTGGTTTCCCTATGATAATTTCTCATAAATTGAGGTATATCCCATTGTTCAGACACACCCATATCTTCATTTCAGCTTTTTTTGGCCACATTTGGCCACCCATGTTGGGAACCCAAGGCGGCTTCGATGATTGGTCAGCTTGGAACTGGAACCAAGGTGCGGATCATTTCGACAGATTTTGATCATTCCGTAACTATCATCTATAGATGATAATTAGATATTATATTATATATAAATACATTTATTGTGTATATGTGCATACATTATATATATATATATGCATGAATTTATATATGGGACTAATATTCCTAGGATCATTGTTTGGTTGCCCTATAGCCTTGTGGAAGACACGCCGACACGCCGGCCTAGGTGAGCCAGACGGCTACTTGGGAGTGGCACAGCAAGACAGCTGGGATTTGGAGCGTTACGATGAGGCGGATGGCTGCGGCAGCCATCAACGTGAATATGATACCCTCCAGGTGTCATCAAACATAGCAATGGGACATCCTCGAACTATTCATGGAGGTTTTGTTGTAGGAACAACTTCTATATTTTCCATTGCCAGTCTAGAATATGGTTATACATAAGTCGAAACCCTGGCACACTGGAATGATTATTAGTAAGGGTAATGATCCTCCAAAAGCCTTATTTCAGTATACATATTATGATTTATCCAGAATCATCATAGAATATGTTCGTAAATGACATGTACCAACCAGCATAGAACATTTCTTTTCATACAGCGGTTTATGAGGCTATTCTGTTAGCGGTCTTTTTGATTTTCTTAGGCCCATGGACATCAGTGGCAGGCACCCACTGGTTCATCCATCCAAAGAATCAACACCAACAAAAATCCATAAAAATACCATCAAGCACTGCACCCACAAATGTGCAAAGAGATGTTTCTGGATTCCTAAAAGGGTTTTCCATTGGCTATTCCCAGTTGGTCAGATTTCAACAAGAAGGCCCACCGCAAGATAGCCCCTTTTTTCCACCCTAAGATCTGTGGTTTTGATTTGAGTAAATCATCCCATGGTTCTTTGCCAAGCGGGGTCACGGCTCATAATATGGAGATTGGGGCCGTGAAAATCGATATTACTGGATACTTACTATGCTGGTTGGTGGTTTCAAACATGAATTTTATTTTCCATTTCATATATGGGATATTATGAGATAATCCTTCCCATTGACTTTCATATTTTTCAATATGGTTAAAACCACCAGTATGTATCAGCCAACAGCCCAGTGATTGACATCCACTGACTCCATCGGATCCCTTGAGCCGACACATTGGCAGGTCTGAGCAGCGATCTACAGGGCCGACCGTTGGCGGAATCCACGGAAACAAACTTCCGATTGGCACCGCACAAAAAGAGTCTGAACTGCGAAGACACGCCGCGATATTTTTGGGAAAAAACACGGACAGTCTTTACCCCTAGGCTTGAAGGTTTCACAGTTTTCTCAACTCCGTAGTCCTCCAAGTCGCTGGCACGTTTCCACGGACCGCGCAACGGCACTTTTCCCAGCGGTGTGTTGTTTCTTTGGTGAGGCCCGGAGTTGGGGGTTGGGATGTACACTACCAGAGGATTGAGGGAAGCAATCCTGGCCTCCGGGAGGCAACAAAAAGGTGCGTTGCACTGGGCCATCGTTGGGGCCATGTGGTGGATGATCTGGATGGGTTGAATCCACCGGTGGGGCCTGTTTTTGAGTGGGATGAGTATCACTTGAAGCAACGCTCAAAGAGACTACACCCTGCAGCTGTTTGAGATACCAGGGTGCAGGGGTGTTGAGATACGATAGATGCAATGCGTGGCAGACAATACACATGTTGCATTGTTGGGCATGTACAAATACGCGTACGTATTACATACCTACCACGTGCTCTGCAAACATCTAAAGTACCTGCTAAGAAGTGAAGTATCGATCTACATCTCTAGATATTTTTACTTGACCATTTACAACCTATAATACATATATTTGTGCTTTTTCTGCCAAGTGAAGCAATAACATGAAAACTATGGCATGCAAGTTTCTACACTTTTTAGCTGTTCAGACCAATCATTCGTGAGAAAGCACTCCATCTTGCGATGGGTCTCTTGGGCAATCCACATGAAGATCCTGGTCACGCCGAATCCTGGGGCATCGTCCGCTGCTCAGACCTTTATTAATCAAACTCAATGGGGGACGATACTTTGGTCCAATGGAGAAGATTTACCCTAGGGTAAACTCACATATATATGGAAAACTCATGGTTTCGCTCGGAAAATCATCTACTTTCATGGTGGATTTTTCACATTCCTCTGTAGACGTTGGTCCCCGCAGGGGCCCAGGGGCCCCCATCCAATTTTTTTCAGAGTTCGACCCTGCCATGCCTCGGAGGTTCCGAACGACTACATTCCTCTAGAGAAATATTAATGGTTACTAATGGTTATATAATGGATATAATGGTTAATCATTAATGTTTATATACCCTTTGGCTATTTAACGTAACTATGGTGATTTGTGCCCAGTTGTAGCTGATTTATGATGATTTACCTATGACCTAAATGGTGATTTTCCGGGTGGCTACGTTAAACCAACGGAGGGTATAGTAATTCTCAGTGTCAACATGTTGGGGGATGAACATGATCAAAGTTGGGACACAGTGGAATGCTTTGATGGATCAATTGATGGGATATGAAGAAGCAACCAAAAGTACTGGGTCAACCTTGATCTGGGTACCAAAACGGCACAAAACCCTCAATTTTGATGAGGCACATTATATCACATTATGACAATAC